TTTTCTAATACAATAATGTTCATTCAGTTGTTGAGACTCAATCGTAATCACTAAGTCTTACATTGATTTGATGTATGAGATACGATACATTATTATTTTTGTGTGTTCTCTTTGACATTAGTTATCTGAAGGTGCAAAATCGAATTAACCCCTTTTTTTAATTGATAACGCTAAAATTTATTATTAACTATTAACATAAATGAAAAAGCGCTTGACAAAGAGGGGATAAAATGGTAGGTAATAAGCTGTTCACAAAACGTGTTTACCTATTTCTGGATGACGTTTTTGTCTCAATAATCTCTATAATCTCTAACATCTTTCTACATATACCTTTACTCCCGATATATTTATAAATTGCGTCAAATCGGTCTGTTGAATCAGCGGCTTACGTTCTGAAGTGCTCTTGCAATTTATATGATCCACTTTATAAGTCATTTCCATAATTTTTCGTCAACTACAATTACAATAACTGGTACACTACTGAGCATTCACTTTTCGATTAAGCACACTCTGTCCACCTTTTGCACAGATGGCTGACTAAATAAGTTACGGGTAAAATATTTTATAGCAAATTACATTTAATAACACAGACATATAAAAACCAAACATAGGCATTACGGGCCGTATAAGTAATAATGAATTTCGCCCACATTTGTGCAGTGTACTAAATGTTATTCTGAATAGCCCGATACAAGTGACCTTGACATATTAATTCTTATTTGAAGTATAGGGCCTATGAAGCCAAGCTATGATACCACACAGTAAACCCCCTTTAAATAGACTTTCTGTTGGATATCACAAAGCGTCACTCCATGCTTTAAGTTTTCAGTGTGAGATGAATCCTCTTGCCCCACGTTACTCTGTAGTTGAATATCCTCTCTTTGTTAGAATAGTACCACGGTTAACATTATGTATTGGAATCATTCATGAAAATAGATAATGATAGCAAAAGTTAAATCCTAATACAAAATAAGACGATGGTAAAATCATATTCAATTGTTTTTTTTGCATTACGATTAGCTTAACCTAAAGTTAAATGCAGTGGCGCGCGTGATTCCATCTTGAGAGAGCTGTAAGGCACCCCCCACTTTTGATGAACAGCCTCACCACGTGTGAAGTTACTAAAGCGAAAAGCTTTTGAAGTTAGCATTAAAAATTTGTACATGTTTCCGTTTCAGTAGCCTTCCTGCAAAAGGAACACTAAGCCACCCAGAGTTTAAACGTATTGCTATCTAACCATTTTCACTTCGAATTTTTTTATTTATTGCTTAGATGGGTGCTCACAGCCCACCTAATGTTAAGTGGTTACTGGAGCCCATGGACATCTACAACGTAAATGCGCCACCCACCTTGAGATACAAGTTCTAAGATCTCAGCAACGGCTGCCCCACCCTTCAAACCGAAACGCATTACTACTTCACGGCAGAAATAGGCAGGGCGGTAGTTATATTGTTCTTTCACCAGAAACTATCCAGAAGCTTCTAGAACATTCAACTAATGTTACCACCATTGTGCTGCCTTATAAGCCAGTCCATAAATGTATACTACAAGCATACTATTACTATGTATGTATGTATTATGGAAGAAATGAAAGGAAACACCAACAGCCGAGCCGCGATAAAGTGACACAAGCAAGCAAGTTTATATTTTCAGCTTAAATGATGAAATCGAAGCAAACGCACTTGGGCAACACCACACCAGTTTTGGACAAGCTCATTTTTATAAAGCGGGTCATATGAATTATGTGCCCACAACAGCATAGAGAATGCTTACTCAATATTTTGCTTTTGTTTCATTAAAACAATTATGAGCATGGCATAAGATATTATATAAAAAAATAAATCGACTGTATTTTAGCAAGGAATTGGACAGTTGAAATGTTTTGCGTTATCACAAAATTATTCATCATTAAAATTTAAAATTTCTCAAATTAGTTATAAAACATACGATTTTTTTATTTATTTTCGTCGTTTTCCTCGAGTCGTAGAAATAAATAGAACTGCTTTAAATACATAATTATGTAGTAAAACCGGTCATGCTTCGCTGTGATGATAGGTAATTTTGTGAAAAGCATCGCTTTCTTGAAACTATTCACGCACCATCTATGTTATGTATATGGTACTATGACAGAAACCACGGTTGGACTTTTTTTTTATGATTGAAAGATTACTGGTTGTCCGAAGGCCTTTCCAGTTTCACCAGGACAGGTGGGCGAGCAAAGGCTCAGCCAGGAGAGGTGAGATTTGCTATCAACTGCCCGAGCGCCTCCGAAGGAGACCTAACAACTCAAGAGCAATTGATTCGCGAGTGAATCTACTACCGGATCGGAATCGCGACCCGCTGAGAAGATCCGGCGAGAAACTCAGCGGGCTGATGCATGGGTTAGGTTGCACGTTGACCTTTTTGTCGAGCTCGACGAGTACAGTAACTGATGTCCCTAAGCCTGCTCCTGGTATTAGAGCTGAAGGCGTCACGGTTGGACTACGACAACCACAACTGTACCAAGCTTCATCACAATCGAATCAACTTTTCAGAAAATCATTGTTCGTATTGATAAATTGATAGTTAAAAAAATAATAAGTCATTACCTATGAAGTTGCCGGTTTACAATACTGACCATTTGAAACTTAATTTATGTATGCTTGGCAATAATACATTCTAGATTCAAATGAATTTTATTTTAAGAAATCTATTTTAAAATTCGTTCATTCGTTTATTGATTAGTGCGTTGTTTTTTAAATTTGTATCCTTTTCATCAATGTGGACACAATAAAAATACCAGTCATTGTGGAATACGAGTTACATCGCGGTAGTAATGCCGCGCAAACGACTCATAACATTAATGACGAATACGAAGTGCGCACTGCAAACGAACGCACGACACGTTACGGATTTGGGCGCTTCCGAAGTGGAAAGTTTGATCATAAAAATTGAACAACTTGGTCACCCAAAAACTAAGGACAACAACGACGAATTAAGGGCGGTGGTCATGTTGGTTAGATCCTGGTTCAGCACCTGGGCTATGACTCAAACGAAAACTTAACCCTTGAAAAAGTCATGGTCACTGTTTGGTGGTCTAGTGCCAGTATAATTCATCAAAACTTCTCAACTTCTTGTTAATGGCTCCAGCATTACTGCGGATCCAGATTCATTGAAACAGATGTCATTGATCTCGTGAATTCAAAAGTAGTCACTCTCGCGATATAAAAATGCAAATTTATCTTCATATAATATAGAATTAAGTTAATATCCTAGATAACAGTTTAATGAGATAAAGCCTCATAAAAATACTTCTGCATTCCTTGAAGAATTAGTGGTTTTTTATTTATTGCATAAATAAATTTGATTTAATAAAAATAAATTAATAGCACGTATTACTTACCAACGTAGGTAAAAATTGTTTGATCACCGTTTGTCTTGTAAACACGAATCCAAGAGCAAAAGGTAAACTCTTTCAATGGGGGTGTTTCGACGTCATACTGCAGAAACTACAAGATAAGGGATACGTAATATAGTAGGTATAAAAGGAACAAGTATTTATTTTATTTTTTTTACAATATGAAATTACGGAAATACATTTGTACACATAAAAATATTTAAGGATAATTTATACTGAGATTATATAATTATATTAATAACGACTTTGAAAAGATAAAATTTTATTTTAATGCACTAAATCAAATAAGATGATTAGCGTTATTAATTGATATTGTGTGGGCTTTTCGGTGACTAGAAATAAAGATTTTATAAACCTCATATACCCTATATACTCACCTGCAGCTAAAGTGCAAGCAACTGTACAATATTTCAACTTCAATCGCAGAGCGATTGAAAATGGATTGAGTGCAAAGAGAAAATTATTTTTCTGAGAAAGATTTACTTTTGTACTGCTTGTACTGACAAATAAAATTATAAAAATATAGAATGAAAGAACTACCTAGTAGTGCATTGTATTCTATAATAAGTTCGTACCTGAGCGTAACCCTTCTGAATGAGAATTATCTTGTAAACGGATCTGTTAATTGCTTCCCCGACAATTAACAAACTGAAGAGCACAAAAACGTGAAACAGCATTCTATAAAATACAATAAAGGATTAGATTTCAACAGAACAAAAGCGCGTTAGGTATGATTTCCGATTAAAAGAATGGGACAGCCGTTATGCAATACATTTGAGACTATGACCTCATGTCTCAAGGAACTCGCATTACACGGGTACTGGTAATTTAATACCAGCTGGGCAGTGAGCTCATTTACCAAATAAGGCTGGCAATAAAGGTGGCTACCCGTACCCTTAACTTAAATATTATAATACTAAAATGTCAAACTAGATTAACTTACTTGGTCATTCACAAAAAAAAACGTTAAAGCGCTCTCGTCACGTAAAAGATACTTAATCGCAAAAAAACTAAAATAACATCAGGCTTGTTTTGACTTAAATACAAATCCGAAATGCTTGAGTGTAAATTTTTTATCTTTTTTTAAAGAATTCCGTCTGAACTATCTCTTAAAATGTCTATTATACTGTGCAAGAAACAACAGTCGAACTGACATAATCCGACTTCAACGAATACAATTGCTTCGATTGTATGTTTGTAAACCGCGATGTTTATTAAATTGCTCTCATCTGACTATCTCTTAGAAAATTCTTTAATGTTGAAATGAATGTTCTTGAATCTTGAATGTTCTATTATTCACAGGTTTGAAATGTAATGTTTTTGAGACCATTTCATTTAAGAAGAATATATAGCTTATCTTGGAAACAAGCGAGCATAATACTAAATTTTAATTATGTTTTTGAATTAATTAAGCGCTCCGGATGTAAATCAGTCATGGCTCAATTTTGGCCTTTTAATACAAAAACAACTATCGCAAACGAATCTATTACGAAACAGTAAATAACATGTCCTGGTGAAACTGGAAAGGCCTCCGGGCAACCAGTAATTTTTCAAACATAAAAAAAGAAGTAAATAACATGTCGTAAATCTTATTTGTACCCAGGTGAAGGCACCAGCTTACTATATGGGGAACCAAGCTCCAAGTACGCTGCCTCGTGGTGGCTCCATGCTGCGGGCCTTCTCTCCAGCCGGCCCCCCCGTCCCCGCAGACCGAGTGAAGACCATCCCCGTAACAGGTAAAACCCGTTTGACGTTTACGTCATCAATTCCAGGAAGCTGGTAAATTGTAGTCATTTCCTTGAACGTCCGGATTTCGACATCGATTTCCTGTTTGTATTGACGTTGAGGCATGCTAGGGTTCAAGGTACAGAGAGGTCTGTGTTTAGGTCCCTCGCCGGCCAAGCCGTTGCGTGCATACGTTCCGGGGGGCGGGTCGGAAAGATGTTTCCCCTTCACGGCGCCTGATTGCGCCCGGGCCGCGGAACAACTATACACGATCCCCGGTAACAGGACTCAACAAACCAAATTAATTTCGCTTCACATCATTGATTTGCTCAACGCTTAATCTGTTGCGCTAATTGAAATACGTTTTTTAATATTGATGTTAAAGCTTATTAACAGTTTTTTGATATTCTGCATTTATCTGTGGTGTGAATGTTGATGATATATGTATTGTTGAACAAAGTTTTAATATGGTATTATGAAATTCCTCTTTACTTATTTTCATTCTTCTCGTTTTATTTAAATAATACATTACGTCAAATGAATATGGGTGTTTTTTTCTTTTCTTTCTAAATGGAGCTTAACATCCGAATATATTTTTTCAAGATTGGGTTTTTTTAAATAATTATTTTATTTGAAGAATCTGCATGCTGATGTAGTTTTGACAACATTTAAATAATTAAAAACAGTTTACTCTTATACTTAAACAGTCCTGACGCTCTAACGTTTTATTCGTGAATTATACAGAAAATTGTTCAGACACATGAACCCTAAGTTTAAATAGATTCTTTCACTGGTATGTATGTCAGTTGTCAATTCACTGTAGGTCATTCGGATGGCTACATGTCATCCCCTGAGCGGAGTAGCAACAGGCAACCCTATGAAGATCCGTACTACACCCAGTTCCTGGGACCGGCTGCGGGCAGACCAGCTATCGCACCTATCATTGATGAGGAAGCAGGGTAAGCTGTAAAATGAATAAAACAAATGTGTTTCTATTATTGCAAATAAAGTACATCAATCTTTAACGAGGACTTTAGTGTTTACGTTGCCGATGCTTTTATTTTATTTAAAAAAAAAAAAACTCTAAGCGATTCTATATCGGAATCACTACGGATTATGTTAGGCTGAGGGGGACGTTATTAAAATTGCCTATTATATTTTAACGAAAACGATTCCACTTTTGTATGCATAATGTTACGTACAAGATACAATTGCTGAAGAATATAAAAATTCGCATCGAAAACAATACACAAATGTATGAATATACTTCAATTATAGATATGGATTTAATCCGTACACTTTCTGCATGAAAGTCTTAAATTATCATCTAGATAATTATTTTTGGTAATTTTATTTTTTAGTTCGTGCTTAAGTCGATGCTTGGTAACAAAATGAATAAAAATAAACCAATCATTAACTAAATTAATACTCATGATTCTTTAACAGTTTCTATAGAGTAATAAAATTTCACGAGTATTTATTTCGATACATAATGTTTAGCTTGTACTGTCTATTTAGAATTCGCGACCAAGCACTTTTTAGAACTAAGTTAACATAAAAACAATTACGCTCTTTCAGATATCTTTTAGAAATCATCAGCTCTACAGAAAGAAAAGTTTGATCTAGAGCGTTTTCTTTTTGTTTCAATGCGAATGCGTGTTCTTTACAAAATATCCTTAGCAACAATGACATCTTTAATAGTTTACGCTAGAAATGTTACATTTTTACGCGCGTAGAAGAAGGCAATTTATTATTTGTCAAAATTCGTACAATCATTACTACGGCCTAGTCAAAAATAGCTTTATTTAAAATATAATATATTCATAAAGCAGTAGCTCATTCAGAACTAACGGCCTTATAATTTTTATCAAGAGCGACGTGACTTTAAAAATACTGGCACCTGTGCTGTAAATGAGGAAATCCAACCAGTTTGTAATAATGCATGTTTACTTAAAATAATTACGCAATAAATTAGTATTTTTTTAATGAATATTTACAGTATGACACCTTTTAAATTATACAATTAGGACTACAAAATATATGATAATTTTTAAGCCTGAAAATTGAACTGGACGCTCTTCCAACAACAAAGTTCGATAGTTCATTTCTTACTATTGTTTTTGTGGCTTTTAAAAAAAAAACCTTTTTTAGTCCCTTCGTTTCCGTCAATATTCACTAAAATATCCAAATATTTTAGTGAATATTCGAACACTTTTAACCTAACTATTGTATAATAATTTATGATTACCGTATTAAATGTGTGTTCACTGTTTGGATGCGAGTTATTGTTGCGAGAAAAAATATTTGAGTTAATGTGATCTTTCAAAATCTGTTCTCAACAAAAGAATCAGAATAACTAAACAAACAGACCAAAGTAAAATGAAACAGAAGATTTCTCTTTAAATAGTGATTGTATCCAAATCACTATTTCGATACAATCTTATGATGGTTATTTATCTATACTAATAATATTATAAAGAGGAAAGATTTGTTTGTTTGTTTGTTTCGAATAGGCTCCGAAACTTCTGGACCGATTTGAAAAATTCTTTTTCCATTAGAAGCCGACATTGTCCCTGATGAACATAGGCTACTTTTTTTAATTTTTATTTTATTTTATTTTTTTGGTTTCATGTGTGTTTTAATGTTTCCGAAGCGAAGCGAGGGCGGGTCGCTAGTATTATATAAAAATAAAGAAATAAATTGAATATTTTTGCAAAGGTAAACAATAACCTAAAGGTATATTTCGTTTAGAAAATTTGTTAAACATAATTCGTGTAACTAATTAAAGATAAACAACATTTCTTTGTACTTCAACCCTCGTTGATAATTCATTTTAACGGTCGTCTGGTGTAGTGGTAAGTGACATGGTCACTACACAAGGGGGTCGCGGGTTCGAATCCCGCCAAGGGAAGGTATTTGTATGATAAATATAAATGTCTTTTCCAGGGTTATGGATGTATCTTAAATATATGTATGTGTATAATAAAAATCTTACATTTATTTTCGTTATCTGGTACCTGTAACACAAGTTCTTTACGAACTTATCACGGGACCAGTTAACGTGGTGTGATTGTTAGTAAATATTTATTATTTATTATTATTATTATTATTTATTTACCTAAGAAGGTATTTATTATTTATTATTATTATTATTATTTATTTACCTAAGAAGGTATTTATTATTATTATTATTTTACAGAACCCGATAGCTATCAAAGTTATTGTATCGGTTTTTTTTTTTTTGAGAATATTTATAAAAATATAAATTTCCAGCGATACGTTGATAATCGACGACGCGTATCAGATGTACGGGGTGAATCCGATCACCACGGCGCCCCGTCCAATGCCTCGACCTCCTTATGATGCAAGGTACTTTAAAAAAAAACTTCACTTTTCACGTAACTTTATGATTTTCGCAAAACATGATACCGTTCTGTTGTAGTCGCTACTGAATAAGAATTGTTTCGATTTCATAAATGTACAGCTTTGAAGGAACAATAGGTGATTCCGTAAAAACGGAGACCTTAGAATTCAGATCTCAAGGTAGGTTGTGGCATTTGCGTTGTTGATGTCTATGGGTTCCAGTAACCACTTAGCATCAATTGGGAAATGAGCTCGTCCAACCATTAAGGCAATAAAAAATAAAACAATTGCTATTTCTTTATCCAACAAATTATCATTGACTATAATAGTCATGTTGTCTAGCCGTACTGTATGTTCACCATCATTTATTAAAAGCTCACAATCATGAAAACTTTTAAAAAAACAACGATAAATTCTGTAACAATAAACTTCTCGAAGCCAAGGCCCCGATACCGATATAAAAAAGTTTTAATTTTTTTTTAAATGACGCGTATTTCTTCTTTTCCATGCTGTGCGTTCTTGCGATAGTGGTTTTTTCTATTGCTGTGCGATATATGTGCCTCAAGCGTTCTTACATGACCAAAACATGCGTGACAATACAATGTGCACTTTTGTTGCGTCCACTGCTGTGGCTCTCCATGAAATGGATATTATTTGACATGAATTCACAATCTAAAATTAATTAATTCATAACTTTTAATGTGAACCACATCTTCAAAACGTTAGGTCTCACGATGGCGCATTAACTTTTAAAATATATGATGAAAAAGGAAAAGCGCCTGATAATAACATTTATTATACCTCGCAAAGCCATGTCTTTAGTCAGAGAGGATATATTCGATGTCCTTGTTCCAGGATTCCGCCCCCAGTCGATGAGCTGCAGCGGATCCGTGTTGAAAAGATGGAACGTCAACTGGCTAACTTGACTGGTCTGGTCCAAAAGGCACTGCAGGTCCCAGGACCATCTACTGCTACGCCTCCGACAGCAGCGCCAAGACAGGAGCTCCAGAATTATGGGGCAGCTCGACAAGGAGCAGGACAAGGTTTGTAAATTCTTTTTTTTCTTCCTAATACTTCTTGGATAGTCAATCAATATTCTGTCGCCGAAATTAATATAAAAAGAATAAGAATTAAAAACAGAGCCGCTCGATTCTTTCTTGGAACCGTGTTATTTGAATACGGTAATTTTAACATAATAAAATGTTTTTGCATGTTATCTTTGGTAAGTTTGAAATTTCTGAACATTCCTTAATTGGTTACTTGGGTTTCAAATATTTTGTTATCTTCCCCAATGTTGTACTGTTTTCTTGTAACAGCATTTACTAATTATTGGTCACAAACCTGCAAATAAACAATATAGAAAAAATATTAATTAACGGGGTTTTAGTGCTTAGAGCAAATAAATTTAAAACTACTGACTTTTTGGTATTGGCGGGTTTTATTCTGAAATTTGTATTGCTAATTTGCATGAACTACCTCATAGCTTATTTGTGGAGGGTGGTTACGGGGTCCAAGAGCCTTGGGTCACCTTGAGACATGAGGTCGAACTATATCACACCCTACAAGCCAGACCGAATGACCGTTTCGCTTCGCAGAATGTGATAGGACATGCCCACGCAACTTTATAATACGGTCTACAGCCAGCAAATACCAGAAGGCGATAGCAGGATGATGTTATGCTCAGAGAATACTACTACCTATTCCCTGATGAATCTCTTATTTACCTTTTATGCCACGAGAAGACGTAGGGCTGTTCTGGACAATATCGCAACCAAAAATTATAATAGCCAAATTATCTCATCAGTCAGAGCATCTACAAATTTAACAATCGTCTTACAATCAGTCGCGGATGTTGTGTTTGTAAGTTGTGCACTGTGAACAGATAACCAAAATCTCAAATTTGTAGGAGTACTCACGCACATAAGCTTTGTACTGCTTGCGTCTAATCCACATCAGTGCGTATGGTAATACTCTATTCAACATGGCCAATATCAGGGGCATGCTATAGCAACAATTTTTCACACAAAAAAGTGCAAAATTGCACCTTCAATACACAAATAAAACACCTGAATTTGGATTCAACACTTTTTTAATAAGATCCTGGTGATAGAATAAGGATTTTTTATTCATACATATAAATCAATAATAAAATAAAAGTATAGATTTTTACCACTCATTTATAACTAGATGATTTTTCTAAACCTCACATTACAAATATGCTCCAACAAGCTCACGTTATCGTTCAGAAGAGAATGAATTAAGTTGGTATTTTAAGTATACCATTTGCCAACGAAACAAATAAGTTGCTGTTGATACCAGAATTAGTGTAGATGATTAAACATGCACTGAAAATCTTCTAAGAAACACGACACGAGAAGAAAGTTTTCGATGAGATCCCGACGAGAAAAAATCTACTGAAACTGTTCAATCCAGTAAAAGAATTTCCAGTAAATACGAACTCAGGGAAATCAATTGAGGCATACCCCAAGAACGAAGCGGGATTCGCATCATATTTTCTGTGACTTGCGGTAATCAACGAACCCCAAGTGAGTCGTGATTTCGTTAAAACCTTCCCGACATTATAAGTTCCATAAGGACTCTAACTTTTTAATATACTAAAAACCTTGATTAGAGTCACGATAGATTAAGAGGTCGTGATATTATTCGGTATTTTTTATGTCAAATCTGTGCTGTGGTACGCGTATGTATTTCACATCGCTCTACATTTTTCAACTGAACAACGGACAAATTAATATTTAAGAAAATATCATTGTTTAAATGCTTGACAGTTAGTGAGTTGGCTGAGAAGTGATTAACCGATATTTTCCGATAATTTATTTACAATTAAATTAAGTATTTTTAATGTTTAAAATTCAGTTTAATCGCGGTTTTTGTAATGTGAAATAGCTTCATAGTAACATTTGTGTAAATATAAAATTCTTCATATTATTAAAGTTTCGAACGCTTGGAATTATGTGCTGGTATTTTGGTACGTACGTAGCATCTGTAATCCAAGGGAAGGTTTTAATAGTTAATGTAGCTTTTCCTGCACTCAGATGCCGCGAGTTTTACCAGCAACGGGAGACTTCCCAAATTAGGGAGGGATAAATTTCGTAAGTGTGATTGGACGCGGGTACGGACTGTCGTTGCATTGCTAGTGTTAAAAAAATTTCAAAAACTAACCGTGTTCAAGAAAATAATTGAAATGCAAATAAACTCCTTATTACAAAACCAAATAGGCGACGTTGTCGGGTGTTTTTCAACGGGAAAAACGAAACCGCAAATTGTGAGCTCCACCACATTCCGTTTCCAAGACACTTATTACATCTTATACGCTTCCGTACGCAGCGTGTTTGACAGGGAAAGTTTTCGACTTTCACTGTAAACAAATAAAAAAAACAATTATTTCTTTACCATCCTAGGATGAAGAACAGGAGACATTCGCAATGCATCGACTCTCATTGAATAATCACGAAAACGCTTGCTTGCCGATCGAAGTATTTTCCAGCTTCAAACAGCATTAGAAGGCTCGATCTGATCTTTGATCACCTCACTGACATTCAAGAATACATTTGCAAAAGTCAAATGCACCATATAGATCTACATCACCTCAGATATCACTCGAATTATACCATGCAAGAGTATCAAAACAATTCCGCTCTTAGTATAACTGATATGAAACAAGTGTAAATAAACATTTCTAAAGTGCTCTGTATACAATAATAAACTCCATGTATGTTTACATTAACAAAAATATAGCATATTTTTTATATTAATTTAAAAATAGCATTCATATTTTGTTTAAAATAAATTTATTGGGTGTTCGTAAAATGGTTCGAAGGTTACCCTTGCTGGAAGGAAGCATACATAAAAATATGATGCGTCTAAAAAAGTTTTTGTCACGAACTTGTAGCAACTGTTTATCAGTTTGTTGTGAAATCCACGATTCTATTCTAAATTCAGTACCAATGCACGTAAATATTTACTTTTCATAAAGCATTATTGATCACATTCAGATTTTGGCATTGTATTTTATTTTTTAAAAGTCACGGTGTCATGTGAAAGTAGATAGAAACGACGATAACTCGCATGCCATAGGTTGATTTTTTTTATAAAATTTACACTTCCAGAGAAATCCGTGTCCTTCGAAAAGTCAGTGTCGTTCAGTGATGATCCGCCAGACATGAATTCGCCCAAACAACATTCGCCTCAGCACTCAGGTAACTATACCAGCATTTAAAACCATATTATAAAATGAATGTGTAGCTTAACAATCGAAATATTTATAAAAAAATCAAGTAAATAGTTTCAGAGGTGAAGGTCACTTATAGACATCTGTATATTATCTTAAAATCCTTTAGATTTGTACTTTAATATAAAATCAAAGAAAAGTTGAGTATGGGAAAAACAACTGTCCGATTTCTTGTTTTTTTATTATACGTAATACATAATATCTATCCAGCAAATAATGATTTAATTGGCTTCATCTTTAAATAGTTTGGGCAGACATCAATTAGAGAATTACATGCATTTAAATAAATTTCAAATAAGGTTGTTTAAGTTAATATCCATTTTCTGTTGCATTGTCGTATCTTCAAAAATTTGTTGTACTATGTATGTATGTATTTCATCGGCCGCGTTGTGGAGACTATTTATTTGTTAAGTTATTATTAAGTGTCCTATTAGAAAACTCTTCCGCTCTCGTAGTTTATATCATAACCATGTTCATAATTCTTTGTATTTGATTTCTTTCCGCTTACTTCTTTGCCATAACAAGCTGATACAAAACCTGCAAAACCGGCAATCAAATCATCGACATTGCCGAGGACATCCTCTCAAGGTAATAATGAAATCAGTTGATTTAGCTTATGAAAGCTTTGAAAGAAAATAAAATTGGCTTTGTACTATTTACCCGCAGTTAAACTCACCGATCGTCGTTATATGACGCTCTCACAAATACCGCTTACTGGCCTCAACGTCACTTCCCGTTATGCTGTTAATAATAATACCTATTATAAAACAGAACTTTAGTAAACGGATTGCTTTAAAGTTGGCTTTGTATCAGATGTTTATTTATGAAACATTTAGATTATTCAAATGGTAAATCATAATCGTGCTTTTTACAGAGCGTGATCGCTTGAAGCCGGCTCCTCCACCGAAGCCAGCTGGACTGGTCGGCAAGCAGAATCCAATGGGACCGCAGAAGATTTACACCATCAATGTGACTTCGGATTTCTTCGGGCAATTGCGGGTGTTGCAGAAACAGAGCCGCGACCTGAGGATCGAGGTAAATGAGAACTGTGTGGTTTTTACTAATGCGAATGACGAACTAAATGTGCGTGCAATTAGCGAATTTATCGCAACCCGCGAGTAGCCATGCTTTGATTAAAGCATTAGCTGGTCATACATAAGCCATGGTGTTTGGTCCGCAGACCCGCAATTTGCGTCGTTCGACCTTGACTCACGCGATACAGATGAGGCAGATGATGGCCGAGACCATTGTCAAGATCGGGGAGCTGGCCGCTACATTCTGCGATCAAAATCCGGACGCGGTTTGTGCATTATTAAATTTTATATTTTTATAGTTCTGTTTCGACTCTTCCTTTTTTAATTTCTTTTGTCCTTACAGCAACTGACTCGCGAGGAGGAGATGTACCGTCAGGACATGCTGCTACTGGAGAATGATCTGTACGAGCTGGAGGCTACCGTCGAACGTCTTCGCGGTCAAGCTGCTAATAGGTATTAACAAAGAAATATTATCATCATAAATCAATGATGGAATGATGGAACAAGCGGATCTTTTTATTTTTAATATTCAAATACGTTGTAGGGAGACTCGGGTCAATATGGCGGACATTGAACGCATCGCGATGGTGCTATCAAAGAGCAGCAAGACAGTTGCTGATTGGAAGCTTAAATTCCCCGTGCTCCAAGACACAATGAAGACCAAGCTGTCTGCTGAAATGGAGAAGGTACGCTATTATAACCAACTACTCAGATTGGTTTGTGATTACAACGAATTTTTTTTCTTATTCCTTTGACAGGTGGACGAGTTCACAGCCCACCTGATGTTAAGTGGTTACCGGAGCCCATAGACATATACAACGTAAATGCGCCACCCACCTTGAGATATAAGTTCTAAGGTCTTAGTATAGTTATAACAGCTGCCCACCCTTCAAACCGAAACGCATTACTGCTTCACGGCGGAAATAGGCAGGGCAGTGGCACCTACCCGTGCGGACTCACAACAGGTCCTACCACTAGCACTTATGCAAATTATAATTTTGGGAGCTTATAATATGATGGTTTGGATTTTTTTGAAAATGACTTTGCAAGGTACCTTTGGAAACTAAACTTCTTAAAATGAATTAGTTCGTAACTTATTGGCCAGGTGGTGCGTAAGGAGAAGATCCTGGAAGACGAACCGGAACGCCTCGAGCTCGCTCTACGTCGTTGTAAGAAGCTCACCGGAACACTCGTCACTCTCAAGAGGTGCGATTATGTTTGTTCCTATGACTAGTTTCTTACTTACTTTCTTGCTTAACACATTCGGGCTATGAGGGCCCCCGTGAGCCGTGTGAGGGTTCCAACGTAAACGCTTCCTACAAGCCACAGATTGCAGCTATCAAACAAAAAGCGTATAGAAGTGACCCGCGCAGATCTTTAGCCGAACCGAACGTCTCGGTTTTCAATTCTAAAAGAAAGTTGTCGTTTTTAATCAAGCCTTTTAAGATACCTTAAAAACTAGACGGTAAAAGTCGCAATTTTTTTAAGTTCCGTGTAAATTACTGCATTTTATAAATTTTAGAATGAAAATCTCAAGTTGATAAAAGTTACCGATTCCCTGATTTTGGATTAGCCCGAATGGTATAGTACGCTAGGCCCCCCGGTGGGTCGCATGGCATTCAACCTATTTTAATAGGCTTATAAATTATTTTTACTGGTTTTTCAACCACGTGGACTGTACTTCATACAGATTGGACTTCCGTGAGATAAACCTTAGCCTATATAGGATGCAAATAATTTACATTTCGCTAAAATCGGTTCAGTGCTCATGTTATGCCATGATTAGCAATATCATTGCCCACTGAGTTTTTCGCTGGATCTTCTCGTGGGTCGCGTTTCCGATCCAGTGGTAGATTCTGCGAAACACTGCTCTTGCTAGGCCCAGTGTTGGCAACACTTCCGGTTTGAGCCCCAAAAGCTCACCTACACGCTAGGGTGAAGCTGAAATAGCCTCTCAAGACTAGCTTAGGTAGGAGGGAAAAAACAGTATCAGCTATATATAACAGTTTAAAAGGATATACTAAAATTATTTCATTGACTTCTTATATTTTTTTATTTTATATTATTTGTTTTTTTAAATATTATCATAATATCAATATTATATTATTTTAATTTTATTTTAATATTATATTAATACTAAATTAACTTGTTTCGGAACATCTGGTTTTAATGAAACCAATTCTGCTCCAAATTATTATAATTTCTGGCTACCTGTAAATACAACGAAACCACAAACAGAGAAACAAAAAAAATCTAAAATTAACTGTTTTATGTTTTATTCCTAATTTATCTAAATTAAATTTTCATTTTTCTTCAATTTACTAAAATGATGGACTACAATTTGTTGTATTTCTTGATATATCCATATTCAACATTGTTATAGTATATTCGTAATTGAAACTTAGTAATATTAGTAATAATGCCTCAAGCTCCGGCGCCTCATTCACGCTGTGTGATATCTATTCACTCCAGTAATCACTTTAATTAAATAGATTACAATTCTAATAACTAATACAGAATCGTAATGACAATTCCAGGTTGGCCTGTGTTCAAGAGCAACGTCTCCCGATGAACGATGGTCGCATCTCACCCGAATCATCCCAAAGCTCCACTTTCACGGCTTGCCCTTCCTCCGAGGATTTCAACTCGGACAGCACCTGTCCTATGGTGACCGCTCACAACAACAAGGTACATTATTAAATGCAACTAATAAATAAACGATTAAGGTCATAGGAATATGATGATTTGGGTTAACGAAATGAAGTTACAAGGAGGAAGAAAATGTTAGGAAGTTTTGATATTTATTTGGCTGCCCAATTTCAAAATTCGGTAAGATAAATATTACGGACTTAAGCATAAATGAAAAGAATAAGATATATATATGTATTAATATTGTAAAAATGATGAAAGCATTACATAGACCAATAAATATATATACGTCTTAATCATATCAGTATCTAAAGTCTTAGTGGTAATAATTGTAATTTTTTTATTTTATTGCTTAGATGGGTGGACGAGCTCACAGCCCACTTGGTGTTAAGTGGTTACTGGAGCCCATAGACATCTACTACTAAGTTCTAAGGTCTCAAGTATAGTTACAACGGCTGCCTTACCCTTCAAGCCGAAACCCATTACTGCTTCACGACAGAAATAGGCAGGGTGGTGGTACCTACCCGCGCGGACTCACAAGAGGTCCTACCACCAGTAATTCAAGTAATTCAATAAAATTTACTGAAACTCTCTTATTTATTACAATTAGTTACACTGAAATCCAATAGGAACAAATTGATAAATGAACACTACTATTTAAATCTAGAAATGTCAAGAACTTGATAAATTACGTATTAATACAGTTTATTTACTACACCGTTTTTTTTTTTCATAGGGAAGTAATATTTCTGTAATAAACGATAATTATAAAAATTAAATTTGAATTATTTTTGATTGCTCAGCTTCGAACGAGCTGACACTCAGAGCTCATATATGTCACAGCGTCATCACCGTCATCCACTTCGAAACATATCCAAGTCTCGATTGTATTCTAAAGCATATTCCGATCTTTCAGTCCGAAACGCATGGTTGCTTCACGACTTCTGTTTTTAATGAAATCTAACCTACAAATCACTTGATTGTACAGAACCAATTAAAGTAGAAAACTACAGGACCGTATGCGTCCAACCATAGCGCATTAATTATGTTTTACTCTAGTTTAGTAAACAGTATCGCTAACTTGATGTATGTAGTTGACGCGTAATACTCACAGCGATTTTTAGCTGTGTTTTTCTGGTATTTTATATATTAGCTGTAACTGAAAGATTTCGTTAAATACATCAAAAACAACACAACAACAACAACATCTATTGAGTTTTGACAAAGGGCAGGCAAATTGTATTATGTGAGAAAAACTGAAACTTGTATAAAAAGAAAACAATATAAAGGAGCGAATTAAAAATATCGTAGTATATACTGCTAAATGTATTTCGTAGCGTTTTCTTCCTGTATAATGGTGTTATTTATTTATTAATTATGCTGTAAATTTTATGATACTAACATTATTTTAATGGGTGATACCTCATTACAGTAAATTATTTATTACAGATATTTATTGCAAACAGGTTCAAGATAGGAATCAAAACGTTTAATAAAATATTATTTATGACATAAATTAATGAACATGCGCTTAACAATTGCAGGTTTGCCAAGAGTTATAAAATTAGCATTTTTTTCCAACACTTCGATAATTTGCGAGGTGTTATGTATTATTTATTTGCTCCCTACTTCATCCTTCATCGGATTGACCGTGACGCATTCACACAGTGACACAGCATGCTCCTAAAATGATTGTAATGGGTTTTAATTGCACGTACTTACTTCTGCCACTAGTGCATAAAACAAACACCAACACTACTAGTTTCAGCAATAATATCTATAATATTAGCTTCTCATTTTGTTTTGATAAAACACTTAACATTTTTGCACAGCAGAATTGGATCCACCAAGGAATGAACCGGTTTGTATCTTCTTAGCCCTCTTTGTATTCTGTGTTTACTAATTGGCCTCAAAATTTTTATTACGAACGCATGTTTTTGTTTTCTAAATTGGTAAAATAGCAAAATGAAATTGGCATACAACAAAATTTATTTTAAAAAATATCTAAATTCTATTACATCACGCTCTGTCTGGTATTGCTAAACAAATTGACATGAATTTATATACTTAATATATAAACATAATTATTTCGAACAATACTATTGTATTTTTCTTGGTTTTTGTGAGTCACAGACATACTTATACTATTGTACGTTTGAATCTTATTAATAGTTGCGACTACGAAACTACTACTGTAAATTATTCGAAATATCGGATATAGTACATTAACAAAACCAATACAAAACGCGAAATCCAGCCATGAAGGCAGTTTTAATTAAATCCTATAATTAATTATTTTATTAAAAATAAAATATAGATAACCAATACGATATAGTACATCATTACATACAGTTTCCATATAACTACCAAGTATTTATACTACTAAGCAGTATTCGTTATGAATTATGTCAGGATCTTGATATGAAACAATGAAGATTTGTTATATATTATACTTCAAATTTAAGAAGCGACATTCATATTATCTATCTACATAGCCGCTGGTACTATGAAATACAGAGCAAATTACTGATTGATTTTGCGTTTAAATAGAGCTTTGAACTTATCTCGCCTTCTTACGAAAATCATATAAATAGCCTTCATAATTAACTTCAATTAATCGGTACATTAAACGAGTCAGTCGTATTATAATAAAATAACAACAGAGTGTGATGATATTATAAAACATTCAGAATACAATTGAATTTTTTTGCACATACCCCTGCAACCAATGCACCATCCAATTAACGTTGCATTTTACTATCCTTGCTTCAGGAAAATAATGCCAATTTTAACAGTATAGTCAACCAACAGCTAGATGACGAAAGCATCGAACAGTGAACGCTATGTCATCTTCGACTGATTGGTGCTACAACTACAAAAGAATGAGTTATTTACAAAATAGTTGCTGATATTTCGTATGCAAATGAATTTCATACCTCAAGTCGCTTAATTACTTTAAGTAGTTCAATCACACGGTCATGTTTCATTATTTAATAATGAAATGGCTTAAAACAAAATTGCAAGCGCATCGATAGGTACATTACAATCTTTGGACTTGCGTAGAGAAAACATGCTATATTTTCACACTTTTTTCAAAATATTAACGTATTTTTTTTTATTTTTAATCTAATGTTAACAATGGATTTCATGGTGTTTTTCCCGTGATGGTACAACCTCAGTTCGCCTGGAGACAGAGCCAATACTTCAAAGAAGCTATAGTTATTAACGAGTAATAAATCTCTCCGTAATATTATATAAATTATTTATTATAATTATTCTTTTGTACTATGTTTCGGTTATTTATTTAAATTTTAATTCCACATCAATATTTTACTTTACAAAATATTACATTTTTTAATTGTTTTTAATTATAATATTAAAATTACAAATTTATCTTTTTTAACAATAAATTTGCTATATATTTTATTTAAGTAGGCATGTTGGTGCACTGAATTTATAATTAAAGCTTTCTAGCGGTTACATAAAGAATAATATGCTTTTTAAACACTAACATCGAATCGACTTATTGAAATTTTGCGTTTCTTTTTTCAGTTCAGAGAGTTTTGAAAGAATCGTTACGCATGCTAACATTTTAGGTACATACATTTCATTATTTCGGTGTAACAAAACGATTTTGAATTGACAGTGTTCAGTGTCTCTGGAAACGGCTGAAGTCTTATCTAACCGATCGAATTGAAACAGATAAAAGAATCTGCAAATTTTTATGGAACTATGCCGTTTTCACGGAACTTATATTCTTCGATTCTCTTCTAATAAATGCGGGGCCTGTTCTCTAACTTACGATGCAACTTTCAAAATGAAATTAATAACATTTAATTTGTTTTCGAACTGTTTATTGTCTTTATTTTCCAAGTTACTATGATTGTTCGTTTATATTATTTTACAATTGAAAGTTGCATCCCTAATTTTATTTTATATTCCAAATTATATCATATTTAATTTAACAACGTATTGCGTGAACAAGTTTGCCACTAAATGTTGCAGATCAGAAATTAAATAATAAAATGAAATGATTAATTTTAAACGCCCACAGGTACCTTGCACGAAGCATGATGGCATTATGTTTAACTAGTTACAAATAATATTTAGGTTGTTGCAAGTAAAATGATACCGTGAAATTGATTAGGTGCAATTTCAAGCCACCTTAAGACATTTTAAATTTACATCTTCCTCACGAAAACAAAGTAAAATATTCTTTTAAATTATTCCGAAAAATTAAGTATTATAACAAACAAAATGTAATGATAATGTATATTTAGTCATTCAGGTATCATTTTGTTTCAATATTAAAACTCACTATTGCACTTTTAGTTTTAAAGCGCTATCATATTTGGCACACTATCAATTGACGCAGATTGAATATCAATTTGGCATATTTTATTTTTATCATCATTAGAATTAGGAAGTGAATTTTTTAAATGTTTTTTTTACAAAAAGAAAATGTATTTCACTTATCCGTGCTGCATTTAGTGTGTAGTGTGCGAATATGAAAACGTTTTGTGACATAGTTATAATTGTTGTTGTCTGTGATACCTACGCATGTAATGTGCTTTATATGAAATTAGTTGTAGTGCATCTTGCCCGTTTTTCTGTTTCTGTTGCAGTGCATTGTGAATATCAGGAGCAGTTCACAGCCCGCTGCGTATGAAAATCAATGATTGGCTTAAAACATCCCCTTGGTATTTGATATTCGAGTGCTTTCCGAGTGATACCATCACTTCCTATCATTAGTTTTTCTCTTTTGTTTTTCTTTTTCATTTCTTATCATCCTTTTTAATTTAAGAGATGAATTTTGTTTTCCGTGAAACGGGCGTCGTATCTGATGCATCATCTGTACATAATTCAACCTTTGATGGTGCTTCTTGTTTCATTCACTCAATTATATATTTCGCTAGAGGACAATATTAACAGTAAGCCACGCATCAGGTTGCACAGGTAATTTATTCAAAATTTTATTCGCTTCCAAATTTCAGATTAAACTTTAAGACAAAATCAATTCGAGTAAACGAGCACACGTTTTCTAAATAATGTAGACACAGCATTAACTCACTTGAGCTTTGATTAGTATAGTATTTTTATTATTATTGAAAACTCACTATCAATTATTAGCTTCCTATTCAGTAGATTTGTTGGATTAAATTGAAACCAAAAATTTTAAAACACACGCATTTTATAAATTTTTTGACTAATGGCAAAATCGTCACAATTGTTAAGGGTCCGTTTTTTTTCAATATTCGATTATTTTTCATTTGATTATATTTATATGTATATCACAGAAGCCGTTTTATACTATATTTTTATAATATCACCGCCCCTTGACCGCGTCCTCCTGTTTGGTTGATAAACAATATTTTTTTTTGCATAATTACATCGTCCGATACACCCTCACCACGCTACTCGCGGTTTTCACATACCAGTTAAAGGTTCCACTTTTCTTAAGCTCAGATTAATTTTTATTTTTGGTAGTGTGTCGTTTTCATTGTACCTGTCATTACATATAATTCATTTTGAACAGACCAATACTGTTTTCATCTGCTATCGAGGACACAAAGAGAGACGGCCGCATTTTTTGACATAAATTCTTTTGTTTCGATGTTGTGTTATCATTGATAGTCTTGTTCATCTTAATGTGAATATATTTCATGTAATGTATTAATTGTATGTTTGTTTTTGTTGGAGTCGTTCAGTGTTCGTATTTCATTAAAGGAAAACGTCATTGCGATTTTTCAAAACGAAGCAGGCTAAACCACACGCAGTACCAACGGTCTTATTGGAAAATCGCAAGGTCGGTTTATAGTTTTGACAGAAATTTAAAGAAAACGACTAGAAATAATGGAATGGTGTGCAGGGGTCCGGGTGTGCTGGACGAGGCGGCCAGGGACGCGGAGCAGCAGATGTACGTCCAGAGAACGCACTCGACGCTCTTTTAGACGAACTGCAAACATTCGCAAAACCGTGCGAGCGCGGAGGTAGGGGCGAAGGGCCACTGCGGCGTCTGCATTCGTACCCGAGCGGCAGCGACACCGACGCCTCACCGCCGGTACGAGCCCGGGGACAGCACCCACCCAAGCCCCCGGTCCCGGAGCGTCACCCAGAGCTGCTCGCCATGGCCGCCCGCCGTGCCCCTCCGCCTCCGCCACCTCGCACCACCTCACGCTCGCCATTAGCCTCGCCCACTTCACCCTCTTCACCACCCCGAGACGACTCTGAATCTTGCCCCACGGATCCGAATGCCACTGACGATAAGGCAGCCGCACGACAAAACCTTCTCGAACAGCGCCATCAGGAATTACTCAAGAAACAAAAAGCTCTCCAGGAACAATATGCCCGATTGCAAATGATCCAACGCAGCGGACCCACGTTGCCCCCGAATGCGCAACCAGACTTGAAGAAGACCGGCAGCGAATCGAACCTCCTCACCAAGATGAATTTAAATCTGGCACCAGCTAATCTCTCCGGGAGCATGACTCACCTGGCCAGCGATTGCAAGAACAACATCATGGAACGCGCACCGTTCGAGAAGAATTCACAAAACGTGTCCAACAGTGAAACGATCGCGACTACGAACAAAGTTTATGAGACAGATATCCTGTGACCCAGCGGTCGTTATGACGTCGTGTCTGTATGATTTATTTAAAACAATTATCTTATGTTAAAATTACATATTTTTTCATCTCGTTTAAGGCACTAAGATCTGCGTGAAAACGCCGGTAGATGTAAGATTTTCTTAAGTTGACACCGAACAAGTATTATTGTTGGTTCAGTTTTAGTTACTATAATAATAATTTTCATCTAAATGTTTATCGACCATTTGCGGATACTAACGAACAAAGCTTAAACTGATTGACTACGGCGTGATTCTGGAAACTGATCTCTCTCCTGTCTCTTTATTGCTTCCCTGTATTTACATGTGCATTAGGTTCCCGAAGCAAATCCGGTGCGATAACGTCACTTTTGCAAATTAAATAATTTTTCAGGAGAAACATTGGAAAATTCAACATCTTACAGTTCTTATATAGACTAGACTAAAGAAATGAAAACAATAATATTTAAACTAAAACTTTAAACTTCATCAGTAAAAGCAAACATCTCACTGATATCTATTAAAAAATGTATTTTCTCATACTCAATACAGTTGTAATAAAAATTGGATAATTGACTTTATAGAGCACCGTAGTATGTGCGATATGTTTACGTGTTCAATGCACGCTACAGACTGCTTCACACGAGACCGAGAGCACAAATGCACATACGAAATACAAGTAATGGAGAGATAGAAGTAACATTAATAATTATAAATTAATCAAATTAATATTAAATATATGTGTGGATTCATAGATTAGCTCACCTCTGCAGGTTCAAGTCGGTGTTCACGTTACTCTTGTAGATGTACCCTTAATACATTATTTGAGCGAATGAGTGAATGGAAGCGGTTCTCTACCGACATTTTGCTCCTTTGCTTGTACTGTATATACTATCTATATTGTAATATGTTATATATCACTATTTTAGAATAAATTGTACCCCTTGAATAGTTCACTATATCTATATATTATATTATATAAAATAATATTATTGTATAAGTGCCAAATTTACTTTTTCTTCGCTATGAATTGCAACGATTCGAAATCGATTTGATAAGATCCCTGGAGTAATTTACAACGAATTCATTGTAATGACGTTTATGGATTTGTTACGTGCTAATTACTTTTACTTGGGAACTATTTAATATTTTTGACGGCTCAATAAAGCTGATATATTGATACGACTGTGATAAAGATTACCGTTCTAATGAAATGCATATGAATTGACTTTGCTAATATTTCTTTTCCACCTACACATTCAAGGCACTTTCGTCACTGTGAAAACTATAATCGCGCAAAATTAAACTGAAAATCAGATATGTTATTAATTTGATCGTTCAGACAAAAACATTCTGTGAAATTAGATTTATTTTTACATAATTACATTCGGCAGTAAAATAATGTCGCTTAATAGAAATAAATTGGTAGGAAAGTAATAAAATTACTAGTCGAAAAAATTTTCGAGATTCCCAATCATTATACAGGATGAAGTAAGTAGCTTCGGTATGAAATATTTGTCTGCTTCTTAAACAACGCATACTCGCACTAAAACCGTCATTAATATTACTATAGTCATACATTTACAATTTCGTAACATCCTTACTACAAAAATTATTACTTTTTGGACGTAAATATGAATTTTCACGTACATAATTTCAACGCATTACATTCCGCAATATGTGGTCCTGATATTTCAATTAGATTTGTTTATTTTATGTACAATTTTAATGATTTCGTGGATAATCAGTTCGATTGAAATCTAAAAACACGTTCCGTTTTTTTCACGCTTTTGCAAATAATTCTTCATAGTAAGGATATTACTTTGTCATTTTGAATGAATAATGATATAACGAGTGATATTGTTGTGTAGATTCATTAAAATATTCTTATTTTTAGACTTGAAATTATATTATATCTGCATTAGGCAACGTATATAGAATTAGGAAACTTATTACGTCAGAGATAGTTCTTATTTCCTACCGGATTCCATGTGCCAAAATTGTTCTGAAACTATTACTACAAAATCTTCTTTCTACAAAATTTTGCGGATATCTTGTACTTTTCTTGAAAAAAAAAAAACATAATATTCGTGTAACTAAAAAAATCGAAAAAGATATCAAGACTTCTATGTCTAAATTGACTATTTTATTAAAAAAAAAATGGAAAATGCTTTAATTTGATATTTTGACAAACCCCACCACTCATTTCGCTTCTCTGACGTAATAATATTATGTTATACGAAATAAATATTCACGCTTCTCGGTGTCCGTTGCAATCAGAAACTTCAAAGTAATAGTAACAATTAAATGAGTATGCACAAACAAACAAGCACTTAGACGATTTGGAATAAGTTACATTACCGAAAGCGAATTAATGATATAATTATATTTTTTGCTTTTCGAGCTTAATCGCTGGACTTTACAAAATATGTGTGTAGTTCAATTAAATTGTTACTCAGTATAGTCGGTAGCTTCTTATCTAAATGTGTGTTACACTTTTATCGAAATAGATAACAGTCGTGTAATGATCAACTTAATGTATTTCAATAAGATCGATTTTCTATCCGCAGCTGTCAAACGCAATGATTTTAGACAATACAAATTGAAAATGCAATTTCAAAAAGAGCACATCTCTAAAAATGTAAAATGTTCAGGAAATGAAAAAAACTAATTATTTTCTAAAGCAGTGTAAAATTTAAAATATTAACTATTGAGATATATTTTCGTGTTAATTAGCAATTAAAAATTACTGGAATTATTATAAAATGGGTGTAGGTAAGCCTCAAAACTACATTTATATGAAAAAACATATTTGACAAAATATGCGACATGTGCCCTTTTTGAAATTGCATATTCAATTAAGTGTCACTTCTCGAATTATAATTCTCGATGCTGTCTTTAGGCAGGAATAACGCAATATGGAAATTGGCAGTACAACTGTACATTGTACAAATTTAGGTGTGTAATTTGTTCAATGTACAGTCGGAGTGCTGTTACGGAGATTTAAATCTTGCGCTTGACAGGGGATATAAAATCGAGAAAGGTAAATAACACAATAGCTAAGTAAATAATTATTAAGGAATTGTATTTTTTACGTTGAAGTTAATTGTTAATAATTCTTGTTGATTTAACATATTATGATATTTGTATGGTAAAGTCGAGGAAAGGTATCCCAGCTATGATGTGCTAGATTCACAGAGAATGACAAAATACGTTATTTTGCGGCCTCTTGTTCAACGGTGTGTGCAAAAATGATGGATCATTACTATTATTAAATATGTTCTAACAAGAATTTTATATAGAAACATTACGGAACAATGTTTGGAATTCAATTTATTCAAAAAAAATAACGAAAAAATTGAAAAATCCCCAAATAAAGCAATAACTAAAAAAAAATTCAATCAGAATGAAAGTCTATTATTGGCTAGTAATACTTATTTGGTTTTAAAACATGCACCGAAATCAAAATAGAGCTTTCTACATATTTTGAAGTTCTGAAGAAGAATTTGTTCTGAAGAAGAACTTTTGAACAAGAATAAATGTTTCTAAATAAAATCTCATGATTAATAGAAAACCTTTTTTTATTTGTAAAGATTTTTTACATTATCGCTGTAATTTGTATAGTATATTTCTAAATTAAATTGTTTTTACTTTAAACAATCGAATTAAGTTCAAGCTGAAAGCTTTTTAATCTGTTAATTATATGATTAAATAATATTATTGTTTCTTCAATTTTTATTCACGTTTATAAAATAGGTAAATTTGAAATAGCTTCATAATGTTTTAATGTGAAATTAAATAAATATACACGTCAAATTGCGTATTGATCTCTTAGTTCTAAGATTAATTAGTGACAGCATATACAACAAATAAATTCATAGTAATAATAGAAAACCAAATACATACTATGAGTTCCAAAAACCAAAGTCGTTGGGCCTGATCAGTAGTAAAGCTTTAGATTATTTCTAAACTACTTCTAATAATTGAAAACATGAGTGCATGAAGAAGATATGATACAATTTTTTAATTTTGACAAAACAGCCAACAAACTTTGTTACTTGTATTTTTCCTTCGTACATAATTGCTCAAGCACATGCAATTTCTAAAAATAGCCTTCAAACCCGGAGTTTTAAGGGTTATAGGCACATAACACCTTCACTCAAAAAAACTCAAAAATCTTAAAAACTGTACTTAGCCCCTTCATCCTCTCATGTCTTTAATTACACCTGTCTTTTTCTGGCTACAAGCATGTGTTCTGATTTGGATGGTTCCACTTCAAAGTCCTCTGCTCCGCCAGACTACCTTTTGGATCGTTTAGTATCCGCTTTCGGATACTACGTTTTGGGTGTGTTGCACATTTAACCTAACCAATATCCTAGAGATCCATTAAATGATTGGACAGTCCAATGCAACAGGTTAAAGCGTCGTCAGATGACGTCAGAAGACGTCTCAAGATGAGCCACAATATTTACGTTGAGATAACTATGGACAAGAGATAGGTCGTACTAAATCAGATACTAGATCTACCTGTTCCTAATCTTAAGAAATACTTAATCCAAATACATAATCCACATAATCTTCCTAATCTCATTCACAACCAATACTTTATTTAGTAAGCAATCTCAATTTGCCTATTCCTAATCTCAAGTTCCGAGTTCGTTATTAGATTAATGTGATCATTGGATCACTATTTGAATGATTAGGATTAAGCATTTAGGGATTGTGAGATACATTGCAATGTTTAAGTGAGTGAGATAGCGCAGGAACAGGTGGGAGCGTATGCTGAATATTCGATTTAATGTTTTATGAATACGAAGATTAGGTGGAACAGGTGAATTATACATATTAACAAAATGGGATTAGGTGCAGCCTAATCTCGTAAAATACCTAATACTCGGGTCTGTTCTAATAAATTCGACTCATCTCTACTATGGACCCAGTTAACCAACACGCAGCTAGCCCAAGAGCTCTAATTCGCAATATAAATCAATCGCCTCCATTCAATAATAGTGTATAGTATATTCCGTAAAACGCACATGAACTTTGCAATGTGAATGAACAAGTGTATAAGTTAAAATAAATCAAATCGACTATTTATTACCCTTTGTATTTTCAAATATACAACTTTAGTAGCGGGGTTTTTTCTTTTTGGTACGAACTAATTTCTTTAACATTAAAAAATTACACAAAAAAAATGTTAAAACGAGAAGAAATTAATAATTAACACATATAAGCTATAAAGCATGTCCAAATATGGATTTCTCAATCCCAAGGAGCTCGTTAATGTTTGTATAAAAATTACCCCTTCTGTGGCAATCGAGTAAAATATATTGACAATGAAACGAATAAAAATGAAGTATATTTTATTAAAAAAAAACTTAAAACTACACGTTGCATTAAATCTAGAACGAATAATCGTTGGATTTAAATTATATTTAAGAGCTTATATTTAGTTCGCTTTGGTTTAGTGATGGAAGTCGCGACAGATGTCCGGCCGGTAGCCCTGGAATAATGGTTTCATAGGTCAATTAACAATATCAAAGGACGAACATTTTGCCCAACGTTCAAAAAAAATCTCAGAGTTTACACAGTATACAGTGAACGCAAGCTTTTAGCTTACAGCGCCATCTAGTATCAGAATAGGTAAAGCTGCTTCTCAAAGGCTCACAATTTGGCGTAATACTCAAGTATAAAATTCAATCATGACAGATTAATAGATGGTACGTGAGTTCTCTTTCGTGTTTTAAGTTATATTTTAATTGCAATTGAATAACGAATTCATTGCGTTCTGTTCCAAAATATTACATAGCATTGCTCACTCATAAAACATAAAAATATTTTTTATTTGCCGTGAAAAAAACAACTTGCGTTTCATGCTACTGTGTGCTTAGCGCGATTTTTTTAACGTTCTCGATAGCGTAAAAGTTAACTCAAATTTGTATGGAATGGGATCGTTTGCGTACGTTTGCCGCTTGGGATGCTGTTCCAACTGCACATACACACACTGGGTTAACTTTTACGCTATCGAGAACGTTAAGAAATTCGTACTAAGCACACAGGACTAACTTTTTTTTTATTGCCCTTGTAGGCAGACGAGCATACGGCCCACCTGATGGTGAGTGGTTACCGTCGCCCATGGACTTCAGCAATGCCAGGGGCAGAGCCAAGCCGCTGCCTACCGCTTGCCGCTGCCAACTTTCGGGACTGTGATGTTCCGGATAATGATTACGTTTTAACAACTGACTTTATAAACTATCAGCTAAAACCACAAAAATAATACACAAACCTTCCGTCTCAATTTAATATTTTTGTTTTCAATGTAATCCTGAAGGGCGAGATATATGAATCTATATTGGGTTTTATTCTGTACCATGCCGCTTCTCTGAGCCCTCACTAGCTTCACCGTATTGTGTACGTCGATGTCACAGTTAAAACCTGCACGACAAAAAAAGATGAATTGCGAATTAATTATTCGTCTCACTTTTTCATGTTAGATTACAGTTAAGTGTGAGGAGAACAGAGCATATAATTGTCATCCTCCAATATCGCTATGCCAAATTAATACATTTGTTTATGAATTGAGCATAAATCGCTCGCTAAGCAACAAATGCATTGGATGTATAAATTTCGCAACTGCAGAACAAAATAAATAAAGCCAAATAACAAAAAATTATGTTTTATAATAAATAATAATATGGGACGTGAGCTTATGATTATTTATTCTCACCAGATGATTTGATTTTGTCAAGAAGGATGTCCAAGACTATGAACGTGCCGGTTCTCCCGACTCCCGCGGAACAATGCACGCAAATCACATTCTGTAATGAAAAAATAAAGAAATATTCTCAAACTACTATTTCTAACTCGGATTAGGTAATGAATAAGAACTGCAATAAGGAACAAGACGACGAAATTGCTTTTTAATTTACTTAGAAAAAACAAAATCATTTAGTTCAACAATAGTACATTGTGCACCAAAGGAGAAAATTTGAAAATTTCCTCCACAGTGTAAAATACTCGGGCGGAGCCCCCCCCCCCCGTACTCATAAAAAAAACAATTTAACTGTTGTTTTAATTTTTAAATAAACTACTACTAATTGAATAAGAGCTGTCTTATGAACTCATCTTTGTTTAATACTTAACTATTAAATTTTATTGCCTTTTGTTTATTTTACTTTTACACTAAACACAATATTACAAATTACCCGAGCACAACAATGGCGGAGAATTTTAGGTGCGTGAGAGCAGACGTAGACAATAACGCGCATGCGCACTTGTCAGTACCCAGGGAGGAAAAGTTACACTTTCTTCCCTGTACAGCGGGACGAAAACCGAACTTTCGGCGTCGCGGCGTCGGTAGGAGAAAAATATATTTTATATTTGAATGTTTATGTTGAAATACCATTTAGGCTTTACTTCGCTCCTTTGATTGAATTTACGCAATATATTTTCGTATTTATGTCGATACTAAATACTATACATAATATATTCTCGCCAACTCCAAAATGTACGCTGCGGAAAGTCAATTTGTGGCTAAAATTGAATAAATTTGTGCTTTGAACTTTACTCTTTAACCATTTTACACATATCAGAACTCATAACATATTTAATCACACACTCGCAACATGCGTCTTCGGTATTGTTTGTTAATAAAAAAAAAATATTATTAAAACTAGTTGCGATAAAGGAGTTCTCACCTGATCTGGAGCATTCTTCTCTTGTGTGATTAGAAACATTCTTCTGTTTATATCCTCCATGAATGAGATAATCCTATCCGGCTCCGGTGGAGTACTGTGGTCCGGCCAGGCCTGCGAAATAGATTAATGAAAAACATTCATATCTAAAAAATATTAGTCGAAAAGTTTTATGAAAATCAAAATTATTGATGAAGTATTAAAAATACTAGTGGTCCCGCAGTAGTCGAAATTTTAAGTCTGAACATTACTATGGTTCTATTATCAAAGACTTTACTTCTATAATCACAGATTTCGCCAAAACTACACTATAGACAAATAACAATTTGACCACAGACTTTAAGAAATAACAAAAGATTGACAATAAACAAATAGTATGCGTGCGTGTGTATGTCAAATACATGGTAGTGTATGTAATGTTTTTCTTATTGATTTAATGTATTATTAATGCATAATTAAAAAAAAAAAGTATTCTGCACTCCTTCTCTATATTCTTTATAAGTGTGGGAAGTTTCATACTCCTCCGTCCGCGCAATTTTCGTTTGCAGCTGGCGCCCTCCGGGTATGCAATTACGGGAGCTCATTTACCCCACAATGTGAACGCTTATACATATACTGAACTTAAGATTTGAGGTTTAAGTTTAAATTATATTGTATGACAGTTTTGCAACAAAAATAGTCACAGTGTCTCGGTACTGTATTAAATTAAGTAATAATTGACAAAGATTTATACTATTTGAATTTATCATCCTGTTTAAATAACATTTGAAAATAGTGGTTGATGTTGAAAGACCACGCGTTTTAGTATCCAAATTGCATATTATAAATATAACGTGGTCAAAACAATGTGTGTTTAAATGAGCCCATCTTTTACGCGCGTGTGTGTGTGAGCTTACGAGATATAAATGAATACTAATGCCCGTATCTTTAGACGTTTCGTAAAATAGTCCTCCACTCTTAACTCATCCGATGATGCTCGAGAATTCCCTCCAAACTTACTCGAGTTTGGTACTTTTAGTCGACCATTACAATATTCCTCAACTGTCCTCGAGTGAGGTAATAATGATGAAAATTTGATCAAGCTAGCATCAAACCCATAGAGTTCTGTAGTCTATGGTCATTGTTTAATGTCAAAGTCAAGCTGCCGCTGTCTCTTTGACACTAGATGAACTTGTTTGATGTTTTGGTTGCTGAGTTATTCGTAAATATGTGTGCGTGNATCAAGCTAGCATCAAACCCATAGAGTTCTGTAGTCTATGGTCATTGTTTAATGTCAAAGTCAAGCTGCCGCTGTCTCTTTGACACTAGATGAACTTGTTTGATGTTTTGGTTGCTGAGTTATTCGTAAATATGTGTGCGTGCGGTAAATCTGAAAGTGTATTATTTATTTTCTAACCTATTATTATTTTAGATTTCGGATACGGCTTTGTATTTTTATTCGCCGCTTTTGTGTGATTTTGGTTGCATCATGTTGTTGAAGTGCTTTTCCACAACCACCAGTTTATTATTATATAAATAAAACTTATAATCGCATTGACTTTATTTATCAGATAGTAAGCAAAATATGTCTCTTATGTAGGTAAATAAAATAAAGAGTTTCAAATGTCTAACCTCGAACTAGTTACTTTATTAATAAATATTATCAAACTTAAATTATCAAAATACGCGGGAATCATGCACAGATCCAGGCCATTGCACAACAAAATCATATATTTCCATTTGCGGTCCACATACTATTTGGACATTGATAGAAAACCAGCCTTGAGGAACGTTCAAGGTACGTCGCGACGTACCTTGACTTGACAGTTCGCTCACTTCACTCCGGTTAGGAAACTTTTCCAAGGACGTTTGAGTGGAGTTTATTTTTACGACTAAGCATACCAAAACGCGCGTTGGAGGTTGAGTCGAGTCGAGTTATGCTCGTGTGAACGACTAAAGATACGGGTGTAAGTATTTATGTATTTTTTTCTGGAACTCACCGTAAACTGATATTGATAAACTGCTCTGCAACATTTATTTTCGTCGCATACGTCAAGCTCCCTAATTAGGTAATCTTCGTAGTGCGACTCAGAAATGGATCTCACAAGGAGGTTGTCATATCGCTCTTCCTGTCCCGATAATGGCCAATAACGTTCACATTTTCTCTGTAGTCAAAATACATTTAAATAAATAAGTTAATGAATGCTCTTTTTAAACAGCTCCAAAAAAGGAGAATTCCACTGGAAGATGGCGGATAACGACTGTCACATATTATATAATTTTATTTACCTTCCCCTTTTCATGTTCGTTTGTGATCATCGCTATTACTCTGACGTCCTCTTGCCAGATCATTCGCCAGAAGTCATCCTTAGTGCTCGGCAAACATCCCTGAGCGGCGATATATATTTTGTCTTTTACTGCAATAAATATTGTTGAGTCAGATAATACATTTAGATAAAGATAAAGATAGCCTTTATTAACAATCTAATTGAGGCTACATTTTTTTTCCATCATATTTTAATAACTAGGTCACTAGCGCGATATAAGTATTAAAATTTTAATTATTTAATTATACACTTATTATCTAGTTTTATTATTCGATAACGATTTCTTGATCGTCTTGCTGTACAGCATAGGCCTCACGCCAAGGGTTCTCCATAAAGTTCTATCGTGCATTTTTCTCATTCAAATCGTTCCTGCCACTTTTTTGATGTCAGATAATACATAACACATTAGATTATAATACGTACATATGTGTCGAATGTTTCACATGCAGTTTGCGTTAAACAAAAGACAGAGATAAAAAATCTATTAAGAAATCGCTTTTTAAAATTTTTGTAAATGCCAATTTATTGCCGGGATTTATTTTGAAATAGGTACATAAGTAAATATAACTACTGTGTTATTCGAACTCTCTACGTAAAATAAAATATTAGAATGAAAGAAGCATTAAAGATCTAATTTTCATTACCTGCATCTTTATTTAGATTCCCGTTAATTTTATCCAATTTAAGACTTTTCTTCATTTCTCTCAGAGCGTCGTCTGAAAGCGATTTCGTGACGAGTGGTACTGCCTTCTTCTTTTCAGTATTCAGGATCAACGCTGAAACAAATGAGGAATCTCTGATTTGAGATTGCTAAAATTGCTAAAAGCATTACAAGCCACTTTTTTAATGTCAGAAATCAAGACAATACTACGAGTATACGCATTTGTTTCGATTTTCATTTTTTCAGTTTTTGCTCGTGAGGCACATAATATCTGTCCTCAGCAATGACTGAATGAAGATCACGACCGCTCTGACAAGAGTGATACTACAAAGGAAAGGAAAAATGTGATTTATTTCAGTGCAGAATTTTCTAAATTACAACTTCAATTTTTAAAACATTTTTTCTAATTATTACTCTTCAAACACGTAAACGTTTTTGAAAATCATACGATTTATTGATTAGTTGAAATATAATGTGAAAATAAATTAATTCTATAGCATATATTGTGACGCATGTGATCGGATATATGTAAGTACTTTTCTCAGAATGCCTTTGAAATGTAAAACGTACACAAACACGGGCTCACAAATTGAATTAACCATTCGCCTACTTTAAAGTCCACGTATTTATTGCACGTACCCGCGCATTAAGATTCAAATTATCTAACATAATCATGCATTGTGTTGCGACATTACGGAGGCATCTCCGATTGTATTTGTAGCACCTGTATTATCGGACATCGCCGACATTTTAATGACGCATTATAAATTTTTCCTTAAACAGTATTTATTTATTGGCAACCGGATCTGCGCATGTAGATATAGGGTATTGAATGCGTTTTTTGAAGTTCGAATAGGTATTTCGTGGTTTCAGCAACTGCGATTGCTAGACAGGAGAGGTCGGTGCAAGATTTTCCACAGGGGTCGGTCCTTAGTCTATTTTAAAGCATTGCGTATGACTGGGTGATAAAGAGGGCCCTCCGATAGTATCTATTACGTAAACTATAGCTGGTCTTCGTCCAGACGAACAATTTCTCGAGTCAGTCTATGTTGCTACTACTGACGTGGTATTCGTTGGGGGAAGGATTAGAAAATAGGCCCTCGACGTGGCTTTTCAGGCCTCGAGTAGCACCATCTATCGATTTCATTCGACCCTTGCATTTATTTCGTTATCCTGCTCCTCCCAGCTGTTGGGAACAGCTGCTGCATTGAAGCAAGTATTACTAGCCGAGTTGAAGGCAACGTCTAAGCGGGACTCGAATGGTCTACCAACCGACGCTTTCGGTTTTTTTTTTTTGCTTAGATGAGTGAGTGGAAGAGCTCACAGCCCACCTGGTGTTAAGTGATTACTAGAGCCCATAGATATCTACAACATAAATGCGCCACCCACCTTGAGATAAGTTCTAAGATCTCAGTACAGTAACAACGGCTGCCCCACCCTTCAAACCGAAACGCTTTACTGCTTCACGGCAGGAATAGGCAAGGTGGTGGTACCTACCCGTTATTCCAGTGGATACTCAGTTATATAGTTCTGGATTAATCAAAATCGAAAATAATCTACATTTTGATGGTAAGAAGTATTTAGAAAACAACGTACATTGAACACTGTCAAGACTTTCGTTCGATGACTGCACAGAGCTTGTAGAATCACTGAGACGCGATGATCGTACGAAGCTTGCGTTGATGTAGTCCGATTCCAGTTTGTTATCTCGACGACGAAGAACTACCCGCGTTTGGTCATCTGTGGAGCCAATACTTAAGTATAAATATTCTAGGTAAGAACGGTGAAGAAATTAGGTGGAAGAACGTCATATGTGGTCGCGATTCTCAGTAGTGAGGGAACGATATAGAAGAAGAAGATTCTAGGTAAGTTTCATACTTAATATTTTGAGAACATTAAAAGTTACAAGTCCTCTACACTACTAGAGCTCAATCGTTCATTCAGTTTTCTAAGGCAACGGGTTTGTTCTAATTTTGTTCTTCGAAACTTCATACTGTGATTCAGCAACGGATTTATAGAAACTTCTTTCTGAAATATTATTTATTACCCACAATATGAACTGACTGATAATGTACTCGTAATATAATCAAAATTAGAGCATTTGAGTGACATAATACATACGTTTAGTAAATCTACAAGCTACGTGTTACTAAAACTCTCACTTTCATTGCTAATCATTGGGGACAACCAAAAAATGTACGTTATACCCAAACAACATACTGTTAGCACTATATTAGATGAATTGCAATATGATGATCAGTACTTACAAGGCAATACATTTCTATATCTGTTCTTCGAAACGTTCTCAGGCTTCATTCCCTCAATAGTTGTGAACACATGTCTGTCTTCAAGCAGTTTCAATGACTGAAACTCACCATCGAAACCGGTATTACATTCCATTTTTTGTCGATCTTCTATTCCCTAAAATAAATGTGAACAACATTAAATAAACAAATGAATATAAAATGACACACTTTCAAGTAATAATTTCTGAATGCGTTAAAAGGTGTGAAACTGAATAAAGTTACTGCAAAACATATTTTATATGAAGCGAGAATGTTTCTAAGTCTGCTAACTTCTAGATGAGAGAGTATTATTTTCAAAAACGAAGAAAAGCGGTATGTCTCTCTTAACACCAGAATGTCAACAAAATACTTTTACCAATAGTTTTTTTTATGTAATATATGTATTAGTTACACATTATATATTTTAATTATTAAGAAGATGTAGCATACAATTTTTGCAAAGTCAATCATATATACTTAGTCAGGTCATAAATTCTGTCACATGTTTAATGTAAAATAATTGAAACAAGTTTATTCATTATGTAACCATTCATATACCAAAATGAACTTAACAAAACATAGATTCTTATGACACTAAAGTTTATTCAAAATGACCTCCGTGATTTTGAATACAGGCCTTCAATCTGCGCGGCCAGTCGTCTATCGCAGCACGAACGAGGTCCATGTCAATATCGGCGGCTGCCTTAATCAAGGATGTCTTGAGTGACTCCAAATTGGGATGAGGCTTTGAGCACGCCTTTTCCTCCAAGTGTTGCCATATCTTGTAATCTAACGGATTCAAATCTGGACTGGAGGAGGGCCAGTCTTCGTGCCGGATGAAGTCGATTTCACGCGCCGCCAGCCAGTCTTGTGTGCTCTTCGCTCTATGAGCTGGCGCCGAATCTTGTTGGAATACCCAGTGCCTGTTATTGAACATGGTATGAGAAACAGGTTCCACAAGGTTCGTCAGGACTGTATTTTGATACACAACTGCATTCGTTTTTACACCTTTCTCACAAAAATGTACCTCTGTTAAGCCCCAATAAGAAACTCCCAACCATACCATGAGCGAGGATGGAAAATGACCTCGTTGGACACGCGGAATACGGTTGCTCGCTTCTTCACTACTGTGTGCGTACACCTTATCATTTTGTTTGTTGTAGCTCTCTTCTACGGTAAAAATTTTTTCATCCGAAAAAAGAATTTCCCGATATTTTTTTCCCGCGTACCGCTTCAACAAAGCGCGGCATCTCTTCAGTCTCAGGTCCATTAGACGAGCATTCAAACGATGTCCTGTTTTTCTTCGATATGCCCGAAGCCCTAAGTCTTCATTTAACACCCTTTTCACCGTGGTTCTGCTTAACCCCATCTGAAGGGCCAACAGTTTCTGCTTACGTTTGGGATTTCTTTGAATTCGCGCCTTCACAGCTTTTATCACTGCTGGAGTCCTAACAGACCGAGGGCGACCACTTCTTGACCTGTCATCTACACTAGAGTCTTCATTGTATCGTTTGATGGTACGATAAACGAATCTTTTGGTTATATTCAAAATTTTCAGTATGTTAAAAATTTGAATTGGCGCGTAACCGCAACGATGCAACGCAATAACTGCAACACGGTCTTCTTTAAGCGTCCACTCCATATTTATTAAATGAGTAAAATTCTAAAAGTATACATTTTTATTTTCATGAACAATTCGAAATTCGAATTCAATAAACTTTTTTGTGGCCAGCATTCTAAAAGAAAAGTTTTTACTGTGTGACAATACTTATGACCTGACTAGTTATATATATGAACATGAATGCTGAAAGTGCTCTAACAATGACCACGATATTATTATAATAATATACCTAACTCTCCAACACATCCGACTGTCTCGCTAGTTAATGACTTACTAGCCTATGCTCTGGAAACGCATATATCCATGATGGTTTCCAGCGACTTGTAACTGTTGCAAAAAGCGACTTAAGCTGCCATTAATGAAATACCTTATAAATGATTTCGTTCAACTCTTAGTTTGTAAGAAGACTGAAATAAATATATATGACATTGCCCAGTAAATGTTTTAAACATACATCTTATTAAAAGCACATTTCATCATCATCATCATCTCAGCCTGTCCATTGTCCACTGCTGAACATAGGCCTCTCCAAGTGATTTCCAGTGCGGCCGGTCCGTTGCCACCTGCATCCAACGTGACCCAGCGGTTCTTACCGATTATCTTAAGCACATTTCGCTTTTAACATCACATCACACATCACATGATCCCGTGTACGAAATAAATTTTATCTTAAGAATCGAGAGCCGTGTATCGTTAACGAACATCGGGCAGATTTAAAATAAAAAACTTTTAGTTTTGCGTCCTCCGTTTTCATGATTTACAAGCCCTTTGAAATTCAAACAATAACGCTCGTCGACTTCTCAATGCCTTTCGTAACGTGACTTTATCCTCGCAAACGTTATTGTTTCAAGATCACAATTGTTTTTAAAGTTAATATGATACCACGTACACGTACGTACGTATGTACGTGGGCAGAATCACCTTCAAGTTTATGGTGATCATTTAATTCATTTTTGTTGTTTACATCGTTTGTCACATCTTAAAATCAATATTATTCATTCAGATGGACACATTTTTATCTTAGCTTAACTTTTAATTATAAAACCCTTATTAAAATGCTAAGTATGCTGATAAATGCAAAGTTTATTTGTCTGTTTTCTCAAACATTTTTATGTGCAATCAAGTTAAGCTATACCTTCACGTTCATTTTACATCGCGTTTACAACTAAAGATTATATTAACTCACAGTACCTATTCGATCGTTCTATGATTTCCACTATAAAACCTGCTACATAATATTTTTTTTTTTAAAATCCTTTGAATAGCTTATGGGTTAATAACCTAAAATAATCCTAGTCTCTTATTTTTATTATTTATTTATGAATTAAATAAATGTAAGTTTTTTTTGTTGTTTTAATTATATTATTTCTGATGTTCCAAATACTTCACCGTTATAGTAGTCAGTCGTCAGAGAGCAGATTAAGTCGTAAATTAACTATGTTTACGGCTCGCAAAAACCGAAGAAAAAACTATATTCAATGAATTTGTAAATCCGATAGCCAAAAAAAATTTGAATTAATAATTTTTTTAAATAAACTCCTGATTAAGATAACTTACTTTAAATTCTATATGAGAAGACCTTGAATTACCTGCATCTCCTGTACTTTCTGGTCGATGTCGTGAGCTCTTAGTCTGGTGCCACTAACAGGCTGCAAGAGACGCAGTACGTCTCCTGATGTCTCGATCATCGGATACGAACGAAAGTGTTCAATAAGACCCACCAGGTCATCGAACTGCTCACCGCTACCTACGTCGTATTTGTTATGCTGAAAAGAAATAAAACTAAATCAGTAAAACTATATAAGATAAATCTCTATATAGCCGCACTCCGTAACCCTCGTTGCTTGAGGAAACGGTGTCGATCGAGATAATTGCGGTAGCAAGCGAACGACCTATCAAATCCATGGCGACCTTTTAAAAATTAGGAGGTAATAAAAACCTTAGTAAATTAGTGAATTTTCCAATAGTTATATCGTTAATGAAGTGAATATATACGATGCTAGATTTCTTGATTTACTCACGCGTTTTCCACTTAATATATTAGTACCTTATTGTGAAGTCGAAATTAGTAATTTATCATAAAATTAACCGTATTATTTTAATGTCACTGTTGTCCCTTCCCAGCACCGTACAAGAATGATAATCCATTTGTAAGTGCATCTGGACGACGCAGAAGCCAATAATAAGTCTTATCAATAATGTTCTCACGGGACTGGGTCGCAGCGATTTATCATTTAATAAGTACATTCAGTATTGCTACTTAATACTAATTTATCTAATGAATAAATAAATTACATAAGACTTGTACAATACACATTACTTATGCACGGAACTTATATACAAATACCGATGAAGTGCCTATTTACATTTTTACTTCAATGTTTACCGGTTACGTTATGATCAGATTACATAAGTAGAATTTCTAGAATGATCGATACAATAATATAATAGTTAATAATTTAAATAACACTTTTATTTGTTTATTTTGTATTTAAATATACAATTCTGAAAACATCCCTTGGTATTTTTGTTCATAAAGATAGAATAGAATGATAATAGAAAGTAGACAATAGAAAGTATTCAAAAAAGACCTTAACGATCATCGTAACGAAGAAGAAGATAAATATTGGATGGAAACCACTAGATATTAGGGCTAAATTTTTTGTTTGTTTTATACGTATGTGCTAAGTCATACAAATAAAAAAACTATAGTCACACGATCTCCATAAGGCACCAAGCCTTTTAATGGAGCAAAAAACGCCATAGCACTCAGCCACTAATGCCGCAATTCTTTTTTGCTTGTTTCTAGAATTCAAACATTAATGCATTCTTCTCTCCCTCTATCCTTCTTTTAACGAAGCCTTAATTTCAAAACGTGAAAATCATGATTACGTATTAACCTCTACAGTTTTTTTTAAGCGTCAAAATCGTTATTTAATTATCTTTTTGCCTGTTGCGATTAATTATCAATCAGAACGCGGATTAAGATACAAAAAAATCTATAAGAAATTCAATAGGTTGTACAAACATTACCAGTACTCGTGCAATTAAAATGACTACATAGTGTTTTTTTGGTAATTGGAAAAGCATTGAAGTCTTAGTGATCGATTTTTTTCTTAACCACTATTAAATTATAATCGAATGAGTAATGATTAATTAAAACAAAAATATCGATAATAAAAAGGTGCCATTTACATCTTTTTCGCAATAGACACATCGACTTGGTTCTGACATTGTTGATTTTCACTAATAATGACGACTATAGGGAAATGGCGAAAATAAACGAAAATAGTATTCCTTATTATTTATATAATGTATCATTTAATTATAATAAGTGTAATTGTTCCTTCATCTGTTGAGTAAAACGTAAAAGACTTTTTTTCGTAAATGATTTGTAAAAGGCGAACAACAAGCACATTTGATGCTAATTGGAGCTCATATATTTTAGGGATTGGCTTAGTTACCTCGACACCTGGAATCTTTTGTATCAACATTCTTCAACAATCGGGTATATATGCGATGACTTTAAATCAGAATGCATTAGAATAATGATGATAACATTTGCGGGTCTCGGATACGCTTAATTGCCAATAGCGACGGAAATATTTCTGCCGGCTAGAGTTTTTACTACACAATTGTAACCCTTAATAAAAAAAAAGAAAAAAAATTGTACTACTACAGAATTTCAAATTGATCGAGACAAGTTGTCATTCATTAAACCCTAATTTAACTTTTAAGTTGACTTCCTGTGTCACTTCGCTAAATTTTCACTTGAACTTCCTGAATTTTAATCAATTGTGTTAAAACGAGTATCAACCTTCGAGCTGTGATAACCTACACGAAATTCGTTTATATCCTTATGCTTAGTATGCAACTGATTGGACGAACGCCATCAAAATTCAAGTATCGTTCGTTCTGTTACATTGTGCGCAATAATATTTCAATACGCTTAATACGTACTCGCTTTGAACGCGACGGTAACAAAGTAAGATGACTATTGACATTCTCCGTATTGTCATTTTTTTTTTCATTTTACTTGCACAATTATTTGAGAAAAAATCCTTTGGAAAATTTGAATTATTTTTTAGAACGTTTAAAAGATATTTTTGACTTGTTCACGAATAGGTACATGTGTATGTTTTTTTAACTGTAATTTTCTTCCATTTTCCTCCAACCTCTCCGCCTCTTAAGCCAAAAACTACCAAATAAAGAACAACTTATAAAGAAATTAAACTAATAAAATTAAAATTGCTTTAGCAAACTACAAGAACATAAATAATACACTTAAGGCGAGAGTTTAATGGAAACGAGATGACCATGCAAAGAAAATAATGTGACATAACGTCACATGCCTGACGTGATGTGTCGTACATTAAGAATGTATTTAAACACGTGTATAGTGAGGTTGCATTTCGTAAAATACTGTATTTTGACGAGCATGTACTAATTGTCGCCAACTATTCTAAATCAAGCGCATCTGCATTATTGTATTATTAACTTTGGTCACAATTTGCAATGTGACTAAATTGTACCAACTGACCAATATACAAATTAACTCTTGGGGTGAACGTAGTAGTTATTTAATTGAATGTATTTATTTGTACAATTTAGTCTATAAGATCGGGCTAACATATGGACCGTTCATTTTGAAAGTGGTGTAAATCCATTTTCTTTTGTTTCGAGAAAATTAAAGGTTACTATACTTGTTGATTTAAAAATACAGGCAAATCATATGAGGTCTGGCTATGCCACCTACCTTTGTCAATTGGACTTACACCACTTTCATAATCGATGATTATGCAATTTCATTTACCGACCGATTTTAAGTTGTACAAAACATGGGATTTTTTGAGAAATTAAACACGGACTAGTTATATATAAAAAAATTACATTCAATTAAGCATGAATTACGTGATAGCTCATTTTTTTTCAAAAATGGACTTACACCACTTTCAAAATAAACGGTCCATATGTTGATTTCAATAAATTTTAACCTAGTCTATAAATAGCTTCCATACCACAAAAAAGTCACAATGAACTCTAGGATTACCTGTGTCATTGTTCTCTGTCACTTAGGAAACGAACTAGTTTTCTGCATTTAGCATTTAAATGAGTTTCAGAAACTCAGGGACGTATTGACACATTCTTTTTCTCACAATTTTTTTTTTTTCAAAATTTTTATAGAAGAATTGTTTTAAAGTGGATACCGTAATTTGGCTAGCTTGGTGTGAAGCGCCGGCCAGGGAGAATCTCACCTTGTGAAAGGCAGCAAGCCTAAATAGGACAAAAATTTTGAATTCAGCCTAGGCTAAACTACATATAAGACGCCCGGTGTATTCCCATGAAACGATGTAAATAGTGCTGTAATCCCTCAGGCAGGTACTGGATACTATGTTTTCAATAAAATAGTATTAAACTATAATTAAATAGGTATTACACACATGTTCGCGAACGACTTCCTTGATGTTGTAATAAGATCGTGTAATAAAAATCTAACCCACAAAATTATAGCGTAATTAATTATTAGCGAGCTTGTGAGGTCGCATTGGTAGGTACCACCACCCTGCCTGTCTCACCCTGCCTGTTTGGAACACCGTTACGTACTATACAGTTGAGACTGGTGGTATTCACGTTCCAATGTCTATAGGCCCCGACAGTCCCTTAACTATACTTGAGACCTTAGAACTTATATCTCAAGCCGGGTGGCGCATTTACGTCGTAGATGTCTATTGGCTCCAGTGACCACTTAACAACAGGTGGGCTGTGAGCTCGTCCACCCATCTAAGCAATAAAAACGTCTAACTACAGTGCAACCGAAGTTACTAAAAAATGTAATTAGCTCTCAACATTTCTATACTTATACTGAACCCATACTAGACTTATTAACTCGTATAAAAATTATAGCCGTTTGCTGAAATATTGTCTATAAGTACTCTTATAGGTAAAAATGTTGTCTCACCACAAATTTGCTACCGGAAAGGACACAACGTGCTTATATAAACAACAACACACATTGCGTGTTTAATTTCGTGATGTTTTCGATAATATCGATCGGCGATGTCCTCTTAAGCGTTTCGATGGCAGAACAATCTGTATCGGCGAATATAAAAAACTAGCGACCCGCCCTCGCTTCGCTTCGGAAACATTAAAACACACATGAAACAAAAAAAAAAAAAGTAGCCTATGTTCATCAGGGACAATGTCGGCTTCTAATGGAAAAAGAATTTTTCAAATCGGTCCAGTAGTTTCGGAGCCTATTCGAAACAAACAAACAAACAAATCTTTCCTCTTTATAATAGTATAGTATAGATAACATTCCGCCGACGTATCTGTGTAGATGCAAAAGTTCACAGAAGTAAATACATCTATAGACGCGCGAACAATAGGACGCTTTGATATAATAAATTTCCCATGGCACGTCACTGATGATAGGCCGTAATTACGATATGTTTCGAAGAGGATGTGTGTTATGTGATGTTTGAACATTAAAAACATCAACAATACTAATAAAATGTCTTTAACTTGGCGCGATAACCTCGGTAGCGAGATGACTTGTTTTAGTTGGCGGGCATGTGATTTCGCGACTCATACGACGATAAGTTGTTCCATTCGCATTTTCTGTAGTGGGCAAGATATAAAACTAGTTCTCTTTATAGTTTCGTTTCCATGTTTTTTTATGTGCTATTTTCCCTAAATCAGATATTTAACATAAAATATAATAATATTTTTAAAACTCTTGTTATACATATTCATAAACTTACGAAAA